AAAATTAATACTTTTACAGATTAACTTTTCTAATATTGGGCACATGTATATGGCTTGACATTAATTTCAAAGTGATTTTTAGTTGTCATTAAATGCAAAATCAATGGACCCAGATGTGAACCACTCAGTTACATGCATAGACCAGAATCACAGCACACGTTCAAGAGTTGTTTACTGATAGGTGGAACAATAATTATACAAAGCTTGCCAGCCACAGGATGAAAAAGGTAAGTGATGCCTATTTTTTTTATTTATGAGACAGAGACCAACATAACACATATTCAGATGAAGAAAGAAAACTTTTCAAATATGAACAAGACCTCTTGGGAATTTTATTTAGAGTTCATCTCTCCTTCAGAGGTGTCACAACTAGAATTTGGTTTGGAACATTTACTTGTACTTTTAAAATATTTTTAGTACAACACATAGAAATCTATAAATACCATGTTATGTCAATTTACCAGCTTATAATTTTGGATAAATCCCATCTTCCTGTATATGTCCTTTTGTAATACTTAATTTTCTTCTTTTACTCAACCCGTTTTGCAGTGAATCCAGACCAATGCATGTCTCTTTAATTCATGTCAGAAGGTTGGTTAGTACTCTATCATCCATGTGTTTATTACTTCTGTGTATTCTCCTGCAGGCCTGCATCATTATTTACTTATTCATTTTCCATCTAATGGATAGTTAGTAAGGCTTCTTTTTTATTATAATCAGTGCATGAGTGAACATCTTTGCCTGAGTCTCCTGGCAAATGAGTACAAGTTTTTTGGTGCGACAGACCACAAGTATTTTAAATCTGAAAAAGTGGGGAAAAGCAGCTACATGGTGGATTTCTGGTCCTACTGTTTTCTTTCCTAATGCACAGTTTGGACTATGCAGATATTGAAAATATAAATATACATTATGGTTTGAAAACATCTTGGATGGCATTGTGTGTATTTAGCATAAGCTTTTAGGGTTTATGAACACTCTAAATTCCAAGATAAATGAGGAGCAACAATTTACCAAGCCTCAAACAAAATTCAAAGTGAAGGAATATGGGACAGAATCACATGTTTATGACTCTGGAGCTATGGTTAGGTTTTGCTATAAAAATACAACGACGCAGGTGGTCAATTTCTAAAGCGATCTCTTGGAGATTGAGAAGACAAGCAGAAGCAGGTGGATTTATTACCTAGCACTTCAGCTCTGGCTCCTCTTCCCTTCCCTGTTTTGCTTCCTCCCTTCTGCCTTTCAGTTTGCTTCCTGTCATTCTCTGTTATAACTTAAACAACAGAAAATATCACACTGTCCACTGTAACACATCTTCACACACACATACACACTGTGAACTGCATTTTTAAAAAGCAGCTGTAAAAGTATTATATGGTCTTTTTAAAAAAAGCATCCTGAAAGACATTTCTGGGAATCAATGCACCTTTCACCTGGTAGAGTCTGAAATTTCCTTCTGTTTGTACGGTGGCCCAGTTCACACTTGCTTCCTCACTGCCTTGCACAGAAGCCTCTGGCCTTCATTAGCAAGGGTTGCTTGTATTTTAGAAGAGCTGGGGAATTTCCAGGATGGTTTCAAATGGGAAAACTGTGACACCAGGGTCTGGTGAGAATGTTTCTCTCAGGCCACACAACACCCAAAATAACAGCATTTGTAAATTTATGAAACTGGAAGAAAAATTAAAAATGCACTGGAACGTTACATTATCTGCAACACTGGGAAGGGGCCTGCTTTCCCCAGGAAATGATTATTGTGGCATAGATAACACTGCCCCTCACCGCTATGTTTTCTAGGACATCCACTCAGGTCTGTGAGTCATTGCTTTTTTAAATCCCAGACGTTACGGTGTTAGCTTAGACTCAGCCATGTCTTACTTTCTCGCTTGATTCACAAGCTTCCCAGAGCCATGGAGTGGGTGCAGAGGGTGGGGAAGCCAGTTTAGCAATGAAGAGCTCAGATTTCTCAATCAGGATTTCAATCCTGGCTCTACTCCTGACCACAAGCAGTGGGCGAGTTATGTACCTGTCTAATGCTTCTGCTTCCCACTGTGTAAATAGAGTCAGTAATACACTGTGCCTGACGGTCACAATTCTTGGGAAGCCAGGAGAGACGCCTCATGTAAAGTGCTCACTAACACCGTGCTTACATGGAAGGCGGCCCAGGAAAGGGAAACAACCTGGGTAATATAATGATGGTGGGGGGCTGGCAACACCTTTGCCTCCCTGTTCTTTACGGTTCCACACTGCAGTCTAGCCTAGGTCACATCCACTTGTTTATATTTCTATCCCATCACTCAGAAAGTAAATACTACAGACCTCTACCATGTGCACTGTAGGGCTCTATCAAATAGTTCGCGCATACTAATATTTAAAATAAGGAAAAATGAAATGCATCCAACCTGAACTTAATAGTGATGCACAGTGGGTGACGGGTACATACATTCTTGGAAATTAAGAGGATAAATATATGGTCCTGATTGCATTTATGGTCCTGATTGCAATATATGGTCAGGTTGCATTTCTACACCAGCACTTTAAATGTATAGGTAATATGCTGCACCTTTTTGTCCTGAACTTTACATGGTAAATTGAATTTCTCTTGATAAACACAAGCCATCAAAGAGTTCTCTATTTCAGCAGTGATATTTATAAATCCTACTTCAAGATCAAAGGACCTGGAAGCCTTCACCATGAGTCATCACTTCCAAATGGGTTTTCTGATTGAACCAAACTTTGCTTCATATTTCCACTTATCCAGTAAACTGTGCAAACTTGATTTCTCTTGCTTTGCGACATGATAGAGGTCTTCTTGTCATTTCTTTCTTGTCCCCTCTCTGCCTTAGAGACCAGGTCGGACTCATCCCACTGATTCCTTTTACTCATCTGATACTTACGGAGCATCTACATGCCAGAAACCTAGTCATCTGCACTGCACCCTGATATCTACTGACGTGGCCAAGCCTGCTCTCTATCCGCCCTTAACAACTTCTCTCACTTTGCAACACAAGCCACGCACTCCAGATACACAGCAGACGAGTCCTGGCTCCATACACTTGGGCGTTTTCATTTTTGTGTCCTGTTCTCCTAGAGTATCTTGCCTGTATCCTTAACTACCTTGCCAAAGGTTTATTTCCTCTATGTAGTATTATAGGCCAGTGCTAGTTTGCTTGTTCTTGGACTTCAAAACAAAACTTTACAGATATCTAAATTTTTAAAAAGTAGGGACCAACATAAGATTTCTATTTTTTTCTTTTATTACCATTGGAGATTATTTTCAAATGTCAGTTATCAGTTACTATTATGGTGGTTGATAAAATAAGGGCCTTTTAAGCCAGTAGGAAGTCAAAGGTTAAGAAGAACAGACAAAAAGCAAAGAACCAACAGGCTCTGGGCCACTTCTACATATGCCACATGGGCTATTCCAACCTGGAGACAAAGAACTTACAGGAAAATGTGAGATAATGGAATTGCTCTTCATTTCATGGGAGTTCTAGCATATTCAGTAATACCTGGAGACCGTGACTAACCATTTTCTTTTAAATATTGCTAGCCTAGTTGGATTGATTAATGTGTTATATGTAAATTGAGAAGTATTTTAAGTTTCATGCTGTATCCTCATTAGGGTGTTTAGGGTATATGTTGGCCTATTATTGATATAAAAGTTATTTATATAAATTTATGTTACAAACATTATCCATTTAAATACTCATAGCATTTCAAAGATACTTTGTTTTCGTCATGTCATAACAAATTAAGTTGAGGCAGTCATGGACATTTTTTAAACCAAAATTTTGCAACTTTTGTAACTTGAAAGTAAGTTAGCTTGAATAACAAAAATATGTCTTTTTTAAAAAGAATTACCAAACAACAGTACTTTTTCTAAGTTTAACAAATGGGTAGTTTGTCAATTACTACATTTTTGTGTAGTAAATATTTTGTATTTAAAATAAAAAACCAGTAGGAAGTAAAAAATTCATAATCTGAGAACAAAGGGCGATGTATTGAATCATGAAGCTTTAGGAAAACACAATAATTTAATTTATTTATCATGTATATGTTCATGGGCCAGCACCTAGGAACCATTCACACAGGACATTGCTACATACTAGACAACGAAAGTCAGAAAAGGATGGTTCTGGTCCACCTCAGCAGGGAAGTGGTACTCCCTGCAGGACTGGGTATGCTGCATGTGCTGATTCAATTAATTCAGTATATAGTACTCCTACAAGACAGATATTAACATCCCCATTCTACAGATGATGAAACTAAGGCTTAATAATTTAACTTTAAAGTATCAAAGCTAGCGGAAGGTGAAGCTACTACTCAAATCCAGGGCTGTATAATTTCAAACTTTATGCAGCATAATTCTGTGCAAGGTGTCCTCTCAGAAATGTAAAACACAGAAGGTCTAATTTGGTACATATCATCACCTAAGCCAAACAGACAAGCTCCTAGAGTTGAATTTACCACATGTTAAGGATTAATCCAGGGTTTCTCCAAACTGGCGCAGCTGACATTTTGGGCTGGATAGAGTTTGGCTGTAGAGGGGGCTGCCTCATACTCTGTTGGATGTCTACCAGCACCCATGGCCTCTACTCACCAGATGCCACTAGTACACTCCCCCAGCTACGCTACCCCAAAAGTCTGCAGACATTGTCAAGTGTCATCTGAGGGGAAACTGCTCCTGGCTGAGAACCACTGGTGTAATCCAATCTTGCTGTATAAACATTTCTAGAGACAATCCCATCTCAACTAAGAGCAGAAGAGTCCTACTGCCAAAACCTGTTTTCTATGAATAGCTTAGTACTACAGTTTTAAGAAGCAACAGCACTGCTGTTTAATTCAAATACAACTTAAAACAATCCTTGAAACTGTAATTCTTAAAGAAATTTACCTTCTATAATAAGTTAATTTCATTCTGGCAGTTAGAAGAGCAGAGTTCCAGAAATTTATTTCAAACTAAGAAAAACAGTAACAATTAAATTCTTCGGAAGGACTTTTACCTGGTGAAGGATGTTCAGGGAATGATTGACACCATCCAGTTGTAAAGGCTGCCTCCCGATACGACACAACCGTTAGCAAGATCAAATAGTCTCTCAAGGTTAAATATAGAAGGCAGTGAGATGTCAAATGGGACCTGAAAATCAAAAAGCACAAAAATACTGCTTCAAGTTGTTGATGGAAGTAAAATCTCAAGGTACCCAATTACAAACTACACACAATGGTTTCACAAAAAAGGTAGTTAACTTATATGTCTAAAGTGAGGGGCAAAATTTCATAACTCTGTAAGATATATCACTCTATAACCTATTCAGATTTATGCACTAGACTATCAAATACTTATAAACCTGTGGACTATTTTTATTTATATAATCTTTGTGTATGATTCCAAGCATACAACATGTTGGCCTGTTGACAAATTCCCTCCCTCACTTTGAGCCTAAGTTGTGACAGCCAATAGGAAAGCAGGCCCAGATGAAGTCTGGAGATCACCAACAAAGAGAGGCACGGGGCTTCCACGGCTGAGGTTTAGCACAGCCACAGTCACTGCTGGCGAGCTCAAAATGAAAAGCGAGTCTGCTTGTGTGGCCTTAGCACTGATTATTTCACTGAAGAAAGAGTAAACGTGAGAGAACAGAAGTGGCTGCTGACGGGGACCCCACTTTAAGCCAATCTAGGTAAATATTTTTGATAATCAATGAGTAAATGCACTGCAGAAAGACCACACCATAACAGAGCTGTGGGCCTGCATCATGCAAGAAACCAGATGACAAGCTTTGTCAATTTCTTGTCTGTTCATTACAGGAACCATCCATTCCTCTGATTCTCAAGAAAACATAATGAACCCAGGAGCGGAGGCTGGGTTGACTTTTCTTCATTTTATTAAATCTAAAAACAAAAACCAAACAGACAAAAAAATCAAACAACAAAAAAATAGTATTCCTGTGCTTTCTAGTACTTGAAACAATAAAGAGGTAAAAAAATTGGAAATTAATAACATCCTCTTTCCTTGATCAGTCCTGATGTAATCAGCGTTTCCAGCTGGGGAGTATTCTTCCATATGGCTTTTGTTTTTGTTCTTTAAATGGAATAACCATATTTCCACAATTTGCTTATTCAATTAAAATACGTTTGAGAAATCCCTCATCAGTGAAGTCAAGGAAGCAGAATAACCACATGGAAGTTAAGAGTGTGTGATCCTGAGTAATCCTGCTGGTTCAGATCCAGACCTCGCCAGTCCCAGCTCGGTGATGGGACAAAGCGTTCGATCTGTTTCAGGTTTACTTTCATCTTTCATAAAACAGAAATAGGAATGTTCTGCTTAAGATATTATTACAATGAATGAATTTATACAAATAAAATCCTTAGAATGGTGCTTATCACACAATGTCTACTCAATAAAAATTATGTAATATCATCATTTCCAACACATCCTCACTAACATCTACACAGTTTGGCTGGCCGTCTGTCTCATGGTTTATTCAGTCATTTCCATAAAGGTCGTATCTCACTCTTACATGCTCACACCCTTGGGTATAGGTGCTTTGAATTTCTGTACTATTGACCCCTTAAAATTGTTTTGTTCAGTCAAAGGATGATTACTCTAAAATATTGGGACCTTCTACTGTGTTAATAGACCCATGTTAATATATACACCAGGTTTGTGAGCCCTTTGTTAGACAGTCAGTGTCTCAAATTCCATGTATTTGTTCAAGCTAAAACATCATATTGTATGTTTTCCTATTGTTGTCACGTTTTAATGTGAATTTCTGATTGAGTTACACAGACCAAAAGTGGGGAAACTGTAAGTGTGCAGGCTAAATGAACACATTCATGCAATCATCGTCAAATCAAACGTGAAAGTGGGACATGCGAGGTCACTGGATTTACACATATTTATCATTAAACCCACTCAGCCGGTTTTCTAATTCACATCCCCTACCAGCAACATATAAAAGTCCAGTTATACCAGATTGTCCAAAACCTTGATCACTGTAAGATGTTGGTCATATTGCTATGTTTTCCGGGTGTGGAGACATCTTTTTATATTTGTAATGTCACGTGCCTGACAACTGGTGATACTATATTTATAACATGTCTTTTTTATGAAAGTGCAGGGTTTTTGCCCAATTTATACTGTTATTTTTTTCTCTTTGTTAGATAGATTCTCAATACATTCTAGAAATCAGCCCTTTCTTGAGTATATGAAAATGTCTGCTCCTAGTCTGGGGCTTGCTATTTCATGTATCTACTGACACTTTAAGCACAGTCCAATTTACAGTCTTTCTTCTGTGACTGGTGATTTTTTAAGTGAGTACTCTTGATGAAAGCTTTGGCCATCACCAAGGTGATGAAGATGATCTTTTGCCATTCCTCCAGAAGCCAATCTTCCACACGTGATTCTGCAATCTCAATTTGGAACTGAGTTTGTACGTTGTATAAGGTAAGGACCTGATTCTGTTCTTTACCCCATAGATACCCAGCCAGCCAGACTCATTTACCGGAAAGATTGTTCCTTCCTCCCTGGACTCAAGAGTCACTACTGTCATCAATCATGGAGCTGCGTATGTGTGGGTCTCTCTCCAGACTTTCTATTCTGTTTGTCTATTTTTAGAATAGAGAATGTCTATATCTTTCAATTCCTCTGGACCTCTATCTATCCTCATTCTAGTTTTATTCTGTTTTTGTAGTTACTTAATAATATGGGATGCCTAGAAGTTCATCAGCTTTGTTCTTTTTCGAGTTCATTATATGTCTGTGTCAATTTTTTGATACTGTTATAAATGATAGCTGTGAAAACCTTTCACTAACTGTTGCTTTGGCTATATAGAAATAAAACATATTTGCAATGATATTATATATATAGCAACTTTATCAAACTTATTCACCAAAAGAGTTTACCTAAAAACTATTTTGAATTTTCTGTGAATAATGGTATTTTATTTCTCCCATTCTCACACCTGGACCATTTTAAAATTGTCCCTTTTTTCACAAGCTGAGAACTTCCATATAATGTTAATTAGAAGTGATGATAAATATCATTAACACATGATTAATTAACTTTGCAACTCAGGGGGAAAAAGTTTATTTAATGAATGACACTGTAAAATTACCTGCTACTACAGCTGCATCCTTATCTTTACTTATAACCTTACTATGATTTGTTAAATTTATCTCATCTCTTTATAACTTTGCCACTCTTGTGGAATCCAAATTTTTTTATTTTAAAATGTTTGCATTTGAATTAGAATATCACATAAGCATTGTAAGAGTAATTTACAAAATGAATGCTTTATTAAATATTTTAAAAGGCACTAGCATCAAAGTGGTGAAGGCCAGGTCTGCAAGTGTCAAGTCAGGTGGAAATCCTAAATCCGCCTCACATCCGGAGCACGTCAGTGTCCTAAATACCAAGGACAGCTGAATGTGCTTCAGAAAGGCCGAGCTACAGCCTCTCTCCAGGGAGATCCGGATTGAAAGGAAAAATTTTACAGGATTTGAAACAAAAAGATGGGTTCAAAGGTAACGGATTTCTTTGGAGATACTTCTTGAACTGCTTTTGATTTAGCTGGACATTTGAAATGAACCAACATGTTTTTATAACGTTATCACACACACACACACACACACACACACACACGACCTGGAGACTAAGCGACAGTCCGGGGTCTCTCACCTAGTCAGGGACAGGGTCAGGATCCGTGCCCAGGCAGACCGGCTCCTCAGAACGTGTCCCTAACCACTGTGCACACTGCCTCTCCCCCGGCACCCAGCTGTCCTCTGAGCTCCCTCCCGCGTGTCTGTCCCTCACTGGCAGTGCCAGCCTCTCTGTGCCACCCCCTCTCCTGGAGCCTCTCTCCCTCTCCCACCTCCATGGGCTCAGTGGCTCCTTAAAGCCTCCACTTTTAATGTGTGGAAGGTTCTAGAGCTTCCTTCCATGGAGAATTTCTCAAGTAAATTTAAACTTCAAGTAAATTACTGAACTTTTTTGCTACTCAGTAAAGAAGAATTTGGCAATTATATTAATATAGACTTTTCCTCTCCTCTTTGTTGTCCTCCTCCTTCTTTTTTTTTTTTTTTTTTTTTTTTTGTATTTTTATTGTTGTTGTGTGAATAACCTTGAGTCAAAATTGATCAGGATGAAGAACCAAAGAATTCTTTTTTCCTTTTCTTAGGTCAGGAAAAGCTTCATGGGGAGAAAAGAAGAAAACAGTTTGGCAAATACCTGTACGTTTGCTTATACTGGTACACGCTTTGAGGGCCAGTGATGAAGACATGGTGCTAACTTGCCTACTAGAGAAGATAAAAGACTCACTAGTGAAAAGAAGGCAAAGAAGTGCGTGCAGCTGGGTACACTGAATGGGCTTCAATAAATTGTGGCCTGAAGTCGAGCTTGTGTGCGGCTGTAGAAGCCACTAGAGAGCTCTAGGTTATGTGCCAATGCTACAGTTTTAATAAGCTTTTGCATGAAAACTGTACTTTATAAAAGATTCTGCATGAAAACCAGATTCCTTTATAATGAAGATTTAGTTACTTGTGTTCTCTTGTTCCAATTTAAAAAGAAAATTTAAGACAAAACTTTTGAAAGAATTTTAAAGAGAAAACTTAAAAAGAAAGTTATGCAGTCTTCAAAATATCTATGACCTTTCTTAATCCAACGAGCTTTTAGGGATCGCCTACCCTGGAGCTTCCTGTTTCTCTTGGCACAAGTCCTCTGCCTTGTCATCGATTCTGAGTATTAAGTGACCACAAGGAGAGGGCACGTTTCTACCCAGCAGCTGGGTTTGCCTAGCCTTGCGCTGTAATTGCTAAGTGGGATTCGGAACAGCTGTGAGTTTTGTGATATGGGTGGATGTAACTTAACCTCTTTCAGAAACCTTAAAACACAGAGCAAGAGCCACGGGGAAAAAATTAACAGCCTCGAGGCAAGAAATCAAATAGTATTTTCATGCAGCATTCTCACATGTAAGTTTCTCTGTGGTATTTCTTATCTCTTCTTAATATATCACCTTTCGCTGAAGTTAATGATTTTTTTCTAGACTGGGGAAAACATGCATATCAAAGGAGACAGGATAATACGCTGCTAGCTTCCTTAAGACTCAATACCTTCAACAACTGCTTTCCTGCTAATAAAGT